AGAGTGCACAACGATGGAGAATCGGAACTTGCAGTTAGAAAATGGCATGTTAAAACCTGTCCTTCTTAACAAACGACTTTTCCTTATCAAGATGGATCCTCGGCGTCGCCCTTTTTCTCACCGAGCTCTGCAAAAACCCCGAACCCATTAGGATTTTCCATTGGACTTACGTGGTTTCCCCTCGGAAGGCTTTCTCGCAAATCGCAACTGCTCTGTGATTTCATTTCTTTACAATCGGCTTCACTTCGGGGAGTGGCGCAGCCCCGGAATCTAGAAACTTAAATTAACTTTCGGACAGTTGAATGGCCGAGTTTTCGCGGTGAGGCGGGCCATCCGGAAACGTTGCCAAGTCAGGACGAATATTCGAGAATTTTCTCCTGGGAAAGGGTTTCGTGGTGTAGACTTTGCAATCAACTTCCAGTTGAAACACAAATGTACGTATTTATGCTAAAGAGAACTACGTGAAAATAAGTTGAATCAAAAGGGACTATGAAGCGTAGAGATCTTTCGCACATAGTTCCTTTTGATTTACTGCAAGTATACATAGTTCCTTTTAGCATAAAAATGGCCAGATTATCATTGTGCCAATGCAGCACCGCCCAGCTAGACAATGTGCCGGCCGGTTGAATAGGCGTATCTTTCGGAATGGGGCCCAGATCTCGAAAATTCGTTGTGAGTTTTGCTAACAGGCTGCGACGCGGCGCTGAGCCGTAAATGGAGCGTTTTGAGGTGGCTCCGTGAACTTTCTCAGCGCGATTCCCCGCCGCTCAGATATAATGGATGGCGTCCAAATAAGATCTTTTTGCCCCGTAAATACCTGCGAGTGACATTAAGCGCATTTCCACGAGTGGATTTGGTCGACTTTTCCGAGCAGATCGGCAGGGTTGCAAACCAAAGGAGAAAAACGCTCTGCGAAGTCAAGAACTAAACTCAGTTGCTTGATATTTTGAGGAATGTTTGCATCCATCCATTTTTCAACCCAAATCGGGAGGTGGGTCGAGAATTTTTCAGTTTCAAATCGATCGATGCTTTTAACAATACAAACTAGAGCGGGTAGTGTGAATTGAGATTTTGCTCAAATGCTAAGAGTTACTAGACCTCCTTAGACACGCAAAAAAAATCGATATTTGTTAATATTTTCACCAAAATTATCGAAATCTAACAAAAATGGACGCCCAACACCAACATTAGGGTAAGATAACGTTGTGGTCGGCAGTCAGATCCTATCCCTTTCTTCCCGTCTCGTATCCAGGATACGGACTAAGACCCTCACCCCTCTCTGATTAAAGCAAAACGTAATAATTGACAGCTCCTGACTTAACGTCGATTTTTCAAGGGACAGTATATTTTACTGTCCCCGTGCAGGAAGGTCAATGCGATGTGATCAAATGAGCGAAAAGTCAAGTTCGGCGATTAGATCCATTTTTCGCCTCATGATGTCCGATGCACAACTTGTTGAGCATAAAATTCACCGAATGATCACTCATGAATGTCGGAAGGGCCACAGGGCTAGACGAGGTTATATGAACATGCCTGTTGCAGACTTCAGCTAGAGCAAAGAGATGAGTGTTCTCTTGTAGAAAATGACTCAAACATCACGATGAGCGCATTGGGAGAGTCGGAATTCCAATCTTAACTTCACAATTTGCGTAAGAAATATGCGTATTTTAAGCTATCTGCTTAATTTGTAACGCTATGCCACAGAGGGTTAAAATAGCAAACGGACCGTCCCTCAATATAAGGCCGTATTTATGATCACTTCCTATGTAGTTCTTTCGGTTCAAAACTGTGATTAGAAGGTGTATAAGAAGCCCTCAACAACAAAGGACAGTATTGAACGTTTACTTTCATTACGTGTAACGTCAATTGGATTGCATTTTGCAAAAAGGAACCACTAGGATTGCAATGTTGCTAAGATTGTGCAACTTCTTTTGTCTTGGAGGAAAAACCCGATTATCCAATAATAGTTTCTATTTTACTCGCTAAAAGATGTAAATTTAAGACAAAAATAACCATCTAAATTTCATAGTATTTCACGATTTCCGAAATTTTATTGCAAGAGATGAAGTTGCACAATCTTAGCATCATTGCAATGCTAGTGGTTCCTTTTTGCAAAATGCAATCCAATTAACCAACGGCACTTTTACAGTGTAGAGAAGGTAGCAGTTTGGGGTCTCTATAGTATGTTATCTCTGATTTTTCCGTCTTTATTGACAACATCATCCTCCACTTATACTGCTAAAAACGAGTCTCATGGAGGCCGCATAGCTTAGCGCGGCTCAAAAATTTTGAGTGGTTTCTCGAGCTTTGCATTCCGAGAATCCATGGCGTTCCGTGGAAAGTTGTTAGCTGTTCGGCTCTGTCCGCCCTAAGATTCCCGCCTCATTTCATCGCTCCTCTGACGTAAGAGCGTATCTCTAATTCCACATGAGCCGTGGAAAGCATAGAGTTATACGGAGAGCAGGACTCACGTGGAAATCGAGTTGCACCCTTACGTCAGAGGAGCAACGATATCTCGGATCTTACCATTCCTCTGTTCCTCAACTTTCACTTTCATCTTCTCTGTTGAGACAGTCCTCAAAAGCGTACATTCCCCGCACATATGGACCGAGTTTAATGGAACCTACAGTCCCATTATACTGAGAGTCAAGACAACCCCCCCTCATGGAGTCACAAACGAGAATAAAGATTACATAAATTGACAGTTTTTCGTTGGCTCATTGGCTCATTCGGATTATTGAAATGCCTCCTTTAGAGGTGCATGCATACCTGTGGAATTTGAAAAGTGCGGATTTCAATGGTGGCATTTCAGAATCTTTACTGCTGTTCTTTGAAGGGGAAGAAAAAACAAAATAACGTTATTTTTCTTAAAATTGTCAATACATATTCTGTGGGTAATGAAACATTTCGTGAGCACCCTGGTAAAAATTGGCAGTAGAATCTGTGTTCCAAAATACCATAGACCTACAGCCGGCTGTAAGATTTCCAATAGCTTCTATGGCCGGCTACACAATTTCTTATAGCCTTTTATAACCGATGGCGACTTAGCAACAGCCAGGCGATAAAGTGTATGCTAAACGTCACTAATTGCGGATGCTAGGACTTAGTGAGTTTTTGGACCACTGCTCTCTTTTGGGGCCGTAGTATCTTGATTTATTTTGCGAGGAAAGCTACGTACTTTTGATGCATGCCTGCCATTCCTAATATATTAGAGCGCCTTCAGTTTCGTATGATACTATGCAATACCTCTGGTGTGAAATAGTTGCTTCAAGCGCCGTGGCACGCTGCGGCGCGGCAGGCGGGCAGCCAGCGCGAAACGCGCATTGGCGCCTACAAACCTAACAGGGATACTTCACGCGTTGCGCAATGCGTGAAGTATCCCTGTTAGGTTTGTAGGCGCCAGTGCGTCGCCGCTCCACTTTGTTTTAAGCTCTAATATTTAATCTGGCGGCGTCAGCGTTATTCAACTCATGATTTTGAAATGTTTGCACATTCTGTACGGATTACTCTCATTTTAATTGATGAAAAAAATATGTATTAAAGGAAAATATAATGTGTGTTTTGTAAATATTAAGGTGGTTCCGTATCAAACTTAATGATTTCCAAAGCACACGAATCTCTACACAATTTCTTATAGCCTTTTATAATCGATGGGGAAAAAGCAACAGCCAGGCGATAAGTGTAAAGCCCGGCGATAGGAACTGTAGCTCGGCTGCATAATTTTTCATCGCTTCGTATAGCCCGGCCGTATGATTTTCTCCGCATTCTACAGCCAGCTGTATGATTTTCTGTAGCCTTCTTCAGCCGGCTATAAGAATTCGTATGGTATTTTGAAACGCAGCTCTTATCGCCAATTTTTACCGGAGCACCTCAAGTAATAATTTTCATCAGTTTTTCGTTCAATAAATAGAATTTGTTCAAAAACATATTTTCCTACTTGCACCATTAGTTCTGAAGCACTAGATTCAAGATAAAATAGTCATCGCATTGACAAGCCCCCAAGCATGAGGCGATTTCCATTACGTTGTGTTCATTTTCTTGTAATGAACATGATGTTTCAGTCCAAATATCGTTCCAAGAAGTGAGAAGTATATTTCTTCTGGAAAATATGACATTACAGGAGGCGGGGCGTTTTTTGCTTTTGAAATTCATTTTTATAAGCTAATGTGGCCAAAAAGTTCTGCGTTATATCCAAAATCGCTCCCCTCACTTCTAAATGGAGACTGAACATGTGGCCTGCCGCTTTTATTCGTTAATCTTCACTTAGGGAGGCTGTATAAGTGATTACGAGAGGGGAGTTGAGGGAACTGGTGAATTATTTTTCAAATTTATTTTTTTAAAATAATAATTCCACTGCTTTACGATTCCGCATAATCAAGGTTTCGAGCTCGAACTTCTCCTCTCTCTCTCTCTGCCCCCCCCCCTCTCTTCTCTGCACTGCCAGCCTTTCCTCTACTTTACGCTGATAAATAATAATAACCGTATAAACATGAGGAATGAGAATCGTCAGGTGTTTTAGAATCCTGAGTATTTTCTTCCATATTTTCTTGCAATGCGAAAAAAACCTCTAAAAGACTATAGTTTGATGCTACAAATAAATCGCGTTTGAATTCATCGAGGTCATTTTTTGTGCTGCTTGTAAAATTGGATTACATTCAATTGAGGAGAACTAACACGCATTAACTTACCTCTGAGAAATTAAATATAAAAAAGTTAAGAGGTTTAAAAAAGACGTTTGCCGTTCTCCACAGGAAACTGAGCATAACTCTATTATACCTTCAAAAAATTAATCAGTCATTTCTTATTTATTTTACATTCTTTTAAATCTGTCCTCATTTTATTTTTTCTCTCGTCATTTCCCTCTTCATTAATTATCTTCTTTTATTTGAGCACACTTAAGTAAGCGGAAACAAAAAAATAAGAATCAATTTATGCCGAACAGTGATGATTTTAAAGTATCTTGAAAAAATGTAAGTTAAAACTAAAATGATGGCACTCACCCTCATAACGATCGTATCTTCAGCTACCAGTTACACCTGGAACAGATCAAAATAAAAATTGTTTAATAATAATACTCACTTTTTTTTTCGCCCGATTTGAAAATGTTTCTTTTCCCTCCTTTATCGGGTTGTATCAGATAATACTCACTTTTTCTTTTTCGCCCGATTTGAAATAAAGAAATAAAAAAAAAAATAATTAGAAAAAAAAATCGGGCGAAAAAGAAAAAGTGAGTATTATCTGATACAGCCCGATAAAGGAGGAAAAAGAAACATAAAAAATTGTTTAGTCATGGCAAAAGTTAGCTGAGAACACTCAACTTGGAAATTGAATGAAAGCATAACTATCCAAAACAAAAATATCAAGTAAAGCACAAGGGAAGAGGACAAAGCTAATGCTGAGGCTTTATAGTCCGCACAAATGAACCGCAAATCGTACTCTCATGTGGACGTATTTCTGCCAAACGGAACTATGTGCATCAAGACATGAGCCCTGAGACCCATGACGGTACATGCATAACAGGGCTCAGGTCATAATACACATAGTTCCCCTTGGCAGAAATACGTCCATGTAAAGACTCCACTGCATAATTATTAGTTGCTCACCTCCGAGTTGACCACAGACCACGAAACGCCATACGACGCTAAGATCCAAATCCCTCTATGCAGATTTTTTGCGCTCTCTCATAGTTTCCTTATCCCTAATATAATTGTTCTGTGAGTATATAGAGACATTGTAAATGGATCTCCATTTGTGTTGCATGTGTGAGGAATTTGCGATTTGACTGTTGATTTTTATCTAAAAGTTCGCGAGAAACACGATGTGGCCACCGGTTTTCTCTGAAATTAACGCCCAAGCTCAAATAAAACTCTCAAGTTGAGGCCAAAATGGAGGGGATATCCCACGCTACCCTGAGAGTCCACCTCTACATCTTAACAAACTCGCCATGCAAAGATGGGGAGCAAATACATTGACAGGGCTGCCACTTGGGGGGGGNGGGGGGGGACTCTAAAACTGAAAGCACAGCAACCCTGCTAATGTATTTGATCCCTATCTTTGCACGGAGAGTTTGTCTTGATGTAGTGGTGGACTCTTAGGATAGCGTGGGATATCCCCTCCATTTTGTCCTCGACTTGAAAGCATTTTTTGAGCTTGGGAGTTGATTTCAGAAAAAACCAGTGGCACCACCGTGTTTATCGCCAACATTTACATAAGAATCAACAGTCAAATCGCAAATTCCTCACACATGCAACATCTCCATTAGTATAGTAGTAGCGGTAGTGGTGGTAGTATTTTTGGCTGAAATTGTGCTCATGGCTGATTCTCAAGAGCAGCCGCTGTATTTATTAAATTCATCGAAATTAAATCGCGAAGATTTGCTCATGTTTTAGTAGACGCAGCTGAGTCCCTGAATCCGAATCCTCCACTTTGTTCCCGTGTGGTTTCCATATAATTTTTCACCGGGTGGGTAAAATTATCGCGAGACCCGGAGCGCGCCACCCGGGCCGCCTCGAATTAGCGGAGCTCAAGGGTGAAATGCCCGGGGGGCGGCGGCGCGGGGGTGCCGGGACAGCGACCTTTGGGGCGCGAAGTTAGGGATCGGCGTGCAGTTTGAGCTCGGGTAATTAAGTCAGAAATTCAATTAAGTTTTCATCTTGGCGAATGATTAGTTGCGGAGCCGGGATCCTCCGAGGAGGACGTTGCCGCCCGGGAGAGTCTCGCGCGGATCCTCTGTTCCTCGGGGGATATTCCTGTATTTTGCGAGATCCGGCAACGTCGGGGGTGGATGTCGCCCCGTCAACACGACGCCCCGCCCGTGTCGCGTCGCCTCTCGTGTGAATAAAATATGGCACCTTCGCGCTCTGCCGTACTAAGGAGGAACGCCGTATGAGTATTCGAGAGTTGCCAAATTTCCTTCGATAGAATGTTCGTTTCCTAGTAAAGTTATGGATATTTTTCCTTTGAATTTTCAGCATCTTTAGGTGAAATTGCGAGCAAAATTATCTAAAAATTGGAAGAAAATTTTCATGAGTTGTTTGGTTGACAACAAATTAGTTGATCTATTTAGTCTAAAAATGTCGATGAAAAATATGCAGAACTTCCTACCAAAGTAAATATTTCGTCGGGGGAAATTTGGCACCTCTCGAATGTTCATACGGCGTTTTTTTTACCGCCGTGCTAAGGAGGAACGCCGTATGAGCATTCGAGATTTGCCAAATTTCCTTCGATAAAATGTTTATTTCCGAGCAGAGTTATGAATATTTTTCCTTTAAATTTTCAGCATCTGTAGGTGAAATTGCGAACAAAATTATCTGAAAAATTGGAAAGAAAATATTCATGGGTTTATTAGGAAATTCGTGTTTTATCAAAGGAAATTTGGCAACGTCTGAAGGCTCATATGGCGTTTTTCCTCAGCACGGCAGCTCTGGTCCGTGGTCGCTCCGGTATTTCAGTGTTCTTGGATCTATGGGTTTGATAATTTTAAACATAGCATTTGGTCGCTAACTTTTTTGTTGATGCGCTAGAAAAAGACTTGGGGCTGTATATGTCTTTCCTTTAGCAGTATTCGTCCTTCTAAGAGTTATTTAGTTCAATATTACGATTAAAGGGGATATAAGAGGGCCTTTCACATTGAACTAAAACAAACTACATGCCTAACTAAATGTCGGTGTAATTATAATAAATTGCACTGTAGACGGATCTTCACGAAGGATGTCAATGATTTTGATACAAAAAATTGAAATAAACAAAAAAGCAAATTCTGCAATAATGATTTTCAAAGTCCCTAATGACATACCTTAAAACATGGCGAAACCATTATATTTTCCCATTGGTTTAGGTTTTTTTTTTTTTTCACTAATTTTAAAGGTAAATTATCGAAGTTCCTACAAGATGATTCAGCTTGAACTTTACCCAAAATTCGTTATTACTTGTTCGTTGTAAAAGGTCTCTTTATACTTTCCCTAACCACAATTTTAAACTAAAGGGGCTACCCATGAAGGTGCTATAATTACGGCTCTTATACGGAGAGATGTTTTGTTTGCCCTGATAAGTTGATTTCAGTGTGGAACTGCGAAATCTACTGTTAGGACTTAGAAGCTAAATTGAGCTCAAAAGTCCCAAGTCCTTCTCCTTTTCCGTTGAGAGTATTTTTAGATTTCGAGCGGAGTGAAGATTTTACTGTAGCTAGAAAGCGCGTAGAGTCAAAGCGCCTTCAAGTCATTATATATGCAACGCGGACATCCGTTGAACACGAATAGTTGCATGAAGGCGTTTTTAACGACATGACACTGTCGCGTCGTTGCTAACTGCTACGATGCTTTGTGCTTTGTATCTTTCTAAAAATGCTTTGTTTTACACTTTTCTCTTGAAAACGGAAACAGAATCATTTTTCATTTTTCAACGTAAGTTACAGTCCGTAAAGAGACAGACTTCGTCGCCGAAAGTCTCAAAATTGAGATACTAGTTCCCTTTGCTCAGATGATTTTACAAGCGATCTGGCAACTTCGCATGATGAAGGAAGTTTTGAATTCAGCGCGAGGTTTCGGGTGACTGATTTTAATTAAATTAAATCTTCCTGTTATCTTTTTCTCGAGGCGAGAGGGTAAAAAATGCGCCGATTTCTCGTTAAAAGTTTCAAGCAAAAGGGTGATTTTCAGACTTCACCGATGCTCTCATGATTTTTGACAGGATTCACGTGAGAAACAGTAGTCTTTCAACTCGAGCAACTGCTTCAACGGCTAATTTCATTCTTCAGGTAGTGCTCAGCTCAAGCATGAGCATGATATTATAAATGAAAAAGTTTTACTAGAAAAAAATGAATATTGAAATACTTTATCATTCTTTCAACAACTCTCAAGTTTTTTCCTTTGATAAAAAGACGTATAAGTATAACTGAACATACCTGATGGAGCATCGTTTAGAGTATCATATTTTTAGTTAATTGAATAAAGTCCATCTAACAACTCTCAAAAACGAAATAATATAAACTAAGAATTACGAGGGCTGTCCCAAAAGAAACCGGACTTTTGTCATAGAAGGCGAACCGAGCGTCGTAATGAAGTTTTCTTGGGTTTGTTTGAAAGCTGATAAACTACTGAAGATACTTGTTTTTACAGAATGCAAAAATTCGTCTTGGTAAGGAAACTACACGCTTTGGAATAAAGGAAAGTCAAACTCGAGTTGCGATTTTTGTCTTCAAGAAAAAGAGAGTTTTGATTTCAAGAAAAATTTAGACACAACTTAAAAAAAAAACAGTTTTTAAGTTAAAAACTTCGTTGCTCTCTTATTCAAATGCTTAAAAATGAGGAAATTAACATTTTAAGCCGCTTACCAAGTCATCACCTATCCCCTTCAAAATACTCGCCAGCTTTGTCGATGCATTTTTGCCACCGTTTCTTCAATTGGGAGAAACACTGTTGGAAATCCTCAGATTTGAATGATCGCAATTCCTACAAGGTGTTCTCTTGAATTTCCGGAATGGTTTGAAAACGTCGACCTTTCAAGGTAGATTTAAGTCGTGGAAATAAGAAAAAATCACACGGAGCCAGGTCAGGTCACCTTGAAGGAATTGCGATCATTCAAACCTGAGGATTTCCAACAGTGTTTCTCCCAGTTGAAGAAACGGCGGAAAGAAATGCGTCGACAAAGCTGGCAAGTATTTTGAAGGGGATATGTTATGACTTGGTAAGCGGCTAAAAATGTTAATTTCCTTATTTTTAAGCATTTGAATAAGAGAGCAACGAATTTTTAACTTAAAACTTGGGTTTTTTTAAAGTTGTATCTAAATTTTTCTTGAAATAAAGACAAAAATCGCAACTCGAGTTTGACTTTCCTTTATTCCAAAGCGTGTAGTTTCCTTACCAAGACGAATTTTTGCATTCTGTAAAAACAAGCATCTTCAGTAGTTTATCAGCTTTCAAACAAACCCAAGAAAACTTCATTACGACGCTCGGTTCGCCTTCTATGACAAAAGTCCGGTTTCTTTTGGGACAGCTCTCGTAGATCTGCCGTACACTACGGAAAAAACACCGTATAA